AGTTACTTTGGATGCCATTGGAGAAGAGCAAACTGGGTTAAGGAGGACAAAGTAAAAGGAGTCATCCTCCACTTTCAATTAATTTCTACAAGCCAATTTACTTTGAATCTTTTTAGGATCTAGAAACATTATGACCCATTTTCAATCAAAAGAAATTATTCTGGTTTCCAAGCTGATCTCATGGTATTTTCTAGTCAGCAGAGGAAATACTGCAAATATTGTAAGAGATCCTGTTCTCATAAAATGCCCAGCCCAATTTTGTAAATTCAGGAGGTTTTGGCTAGGCCAGATAAGCTTTGGAGAAGCATCTGAATATTCACTCAAGCTGAACCCACTCTCCAGACTGTGGTGTGAGCAGTTTCCTGCACTTCTGAGCTTCTGATGCTTTGAAAAATTTTACTGACTCTGGAAGAATGAGGACAGTGAGAAAAAAAAAGCAAAACACTGTTGCCCCTCTGTAGTTAGTCCACTGGATAAAGAGAAGCACAGATGGTTGCCCAAAGGCTGATGAGTAGGACAAATTCAGCAAGGTTAATGTCCTCTCCCCAGTGGCATGCAAATAAGTAACCATTAAAGCCTCACAGGTCCAGACACCTCTTGGGAAATAATAGTTACAAAGGCTGCTTTGATGGTGATGGTTTAAGGTAAAAATTACCTAGTAATTACTGACACTCTTGCATATATAAGACATGTCTCCCACAAGAAAAAATGTGTCTCCTATTCAGTCTCAGTGCTTGTGTAGTTCCCATCATATAATATTTGAGCACCTCCCAAGCAGTCAAAAATAACCCAAAAAGAAATGTAAGAAAAACGTGTTGTTTCCTCAGCCCATTAAGAACACAACAGGCTTTGACCTTGTGCTGGTATGGCCAAGGGCAAGACTCTGTATTTGTGTGCATATCTGAATCAATATTTTGACAAATTGCCATTTCTCCCTCTGGCTTACCCAGTTTGCTCACATGTTGATAGGCTCTCTGGTGTCAGGGCCAATAAGCGATGCATGTCCAGCTGCTCAGTAATGATCAAACTCTCCTTCACTTATTTTGGACCCACTCAGTGCAGCAGAACACTTCCTATCTGGGAAATTTTAGCATATGCTAAGCAGTCACTAACGTATGTTAATGTTGTCTGGAGATATTTAAAAGAAACTTTGAGCGACAAAAGCGAGCAGAATGGCTGCACAGGAACTTCTGATTCCCTGTATAGGTCTTGTCAAGAGATCTGAGGCACCAAGACAGACTCCTCAAACAGTGCCCAGTGGCTGTGCAGAGGTGTTTGCTCTCTTAAGGGAAGTCTGTAAGGGCAGAAAGCAATGGCCTTCAGAGGGATTGGCTCTGGATCTGGGCCATCAATGAAGCTAGTGATGTAGGTCGCCACTGCAAGAGATCTGAAGAAAAGTAGAGGGGCTTTTTTCAGAAGCAGCAAGTGACAGAGTATTCTTGTTGCATGGGAGGCTGCAGGAGGTAGCAGGGCTTGATGGAGGTCACTGAGACAGGAGTTTTGTGCCCAGTCACTGGGGTAGGACACACAAACAGCCCATGGACAGTCAAACAGTGAGAAAGTCCCCTTCACATGACTGCTACAACACTGAAGTATCACCTTTTCCCTGTGATGCAAAATTGTTTCTTTAGCATCAAACATTAGCTGTGCTATGAGCATTCTTAGGTTAACAAGTACTCGCCATTAGCCCAGTCTCCAGAAGTCTGAGGCATGGGGTTGTCCTTAGCATCTCCACTCCTTGTCTTAGTAAGCACTGTGGGTGTCCATGGCAGGGCCATAAGTGTTTAACAAATACAGTACAAAGAACTTCAGGCAAATACATGTTGAGGTCTGTAATGCTTCTTTCCATCAGTGCACACATGTTGATGGCTCAAAACTTCTTTTCCAAAAATATTAGTCAGAATTTTCGCAGATTTTTTCTTCAATTTGCAGAAGCTTGGAAATTTTCTACTGGAAATGCAGACTCCTATAAAAAGAATTTAAATCTAATGATATGATGATGGATGTGCTTCTTTAGGTACCTTTCTAAGTATCCCTGAAAAAAATGTTTGAAGAAAACACTATAAAGAGGAAAATTTCCCAGGATCACCTCCTCTTCCAGTGTAATCATCTAATTTCTTCAGCCCAAATTAGCCTTCTAAAAGATACAGTCTGGTCTTGCTTACCTTTCTGAACAACTTGTGCCCTAGATTTTTCACCTTTAAATAACCAGTCCCAACACCAGATCCCAACTTGTATTGTTATCCATGCTTGTTGCTGTTCTCCATTTTGAAGCACAAACTGGCACACGCAGTCAGTGCTTATGGACAATGCCAGAACTGCTAAGAAAATTAGGCAACAAAAAAAAGATAACAAGTATAACACCTAACTTTGAGATCTTAACAGCAATCAGCTAAGGAAATTCTGGAATTAAAGTTAACTATGGAATTTCAACTCTGTCCTCTGCTATAAAATACCTTTTTATTATGTCTCACTATTCAAGCTCTGCCCTAAATCAAGAGCTATTGATTTTTAATGTACATTTTTTTCCATGGCACTCTGTCTTTATAGCCAAGCTCTCAGATATAACTGGTCTTTAATTCATTTTTAAAGCATCATTCAGAGGTGAAGGAAATGAGTCCCTTTTTACTGAATTGCTGTGAAGATTAATGTAAATGATGCATATTCATTTTGGTGTCTGGGCTGAGGCTGTACATTTCACACATTAGATGTATCAGACAAAAATGCTGACCCTGGGATCTACGGTTCCAGGGAATCAAGTTCTCAGGTGAGAAAAAGCTTCTCTGTTCTCTTCCTCTCTGCTCCTGCTTCATTTCAGCCATCCTCCACAGCCACCATGTCTCTCTGCCTCCCACCACTGCCTTGCCCTACACCCCACACTGCTGTTCCACATCCATGTGCCATCCTTGGTCCTGTCCTACTTGTCATGTTGGGAGGATTTCTGAGTCTTCCCCTCCCTCATTACCACCCACATGTCTGGCTCTTGTAATTTCTGTGTTTCAGTCCAAGGATTTTTCTCCTCCACATTGTCTCATCCCAATGAATATCAATGAGACCAAAAGAGACAGACTCCTGGCTCTCCTTTCCCATGTCTGGCCCTGTCGTAGGCTGTGGAAGTCTGCAGCTGAAACTGCAAGGGAGGTCCTGCTTGACTTGAGGTTGAAACCTACTCAGGGAGGATGAAAACTTCAGGGCTTCAGTTGCTACAATGAAAGAAATCTCTTAGTGATCCACTGAGCATGTGCAAAATTCAGCTTTCCAAAGGTATACAAGGTAGCCAAATTTGGGCAGATTTTCAGGAAGGCAAAAGGGATATCTCTGATGAAAGGCAACCCTCTAACAAGTTCCTGCTCCAAGAAAGAGGGGTGCCAGAGATTTTCAAAGAAAAGGTCACAATTGCTTTTTAACTTGGACAAAACAATGAATTTTTCCTTACCCTCATTATTGGAAACGTCTGAGTTTGTGGACATTTTCCAAAAACTTCAGCCTAAGGCAGATACCTGGCATGGAAAATTTAATTCCAAAAGGTTATAGTTTGGCAATGTTGTAAGCACTTGAAAATAGGGTCTTACAAGGCAAGGGAACAATGTGACAGGCCAAGACATTGGTCCTAACTCCAGCTACAGCCCCACATCTTGCTTTGTCACCTGTATCACAAAGAAAGCAGTGATACATATTTAAGGCAGAGCTGAATGCTTTTTGAAGGTTTATGTTCTGGCCAGAAGGAAATTACTGGGATCAATATTGAAGAAATGGGTTAAGGTGAACACTTTGTAATGTAGAGGTGTTTCCTAGCAGAGATGGGCTTCAGACAGCATGGTTTACAGACCTTCTTTCTGAATTCTGCTTATCTGCATTTACACACATTCATCCTCTTCAGATAAAAGTGGTTTCCAGTTTTCTGACAAATGCTTTGTCAACAGCTTACCCTGCACTGTCCTGGTTTCCAACTAGCTTGAGTTGGTCTGTCATTACCATTAACTCATTTACTTCTTTTATCACACCACCACTTCCACCTCTCCCTTGTCATGTTCTGCAGGAATGAATATGTAGACAGTGGCAACTCCCAAACCAAATTAGAGCAGCTGGCTGCTGATGCTGTGTAGCATGTGATTTTCTAGGGATAATCCATCAGCCCCCTCCCAGTGGATCCTCTCCTGAGTGCCAAGTGCAGTCCCTGGATTTTTGGCTGCATTTCACACACCGTGGCAGATGCATGGGCCATATTCTGCAGGCATAGACCAATTCCTGGAACAGGCAGAGGAATTATGAGTTGCTAAAGAGCTCCAAGTGAGTTACAGATATTTCACATCTGCCATGTATGAATCAGAACACATTATCTGCCCCTATGGCCAGACAGTTGGCAGCTCAGAATACCTCAGGACAAATGAACCATTGCAGAAACTCGGGCATCCTCTGCTGCTGTTGTGAGACCTGAGATCACTTTATGTTAGTTTTTCACCATGTAGGTACACTGTCATCAATGAACACCACTGCATTGGATCCCCTTGGAAAGATGTGTGTCCTTTGCACGAAGCCCTGCACAGTGGATGTTATGGCAGGGCATGCTGTCTGTGTAATACTAGCTCTGTTTGCACAGGTGTTGGATAGCTTTAGAGCCTGGATCCTTGGATGATGTGAGCGTCCAGGAGGTCTTCTGTGGCTTATGGAGTCATCTGGGAGGAGAACGTTTTAAAAATGAAATCCTCTTTAGAATTGCTGAAACGTTGGTGAGTAGCAGTCCTCATCTGCATTAAAAGGTTTTCTTATTGCCTAAGTTATTACACATATTCTTTTTTGAATAATGGCAAAGAAATAACAAAATTTGGATAGAAAATTCCTTCCTTATTGTCAGCTTATGGGGACATCAGAGAGGGGCAAAGGCAATGGATACAGCTGTGCTGTTGGTGAAATCCAGGGCTACCTGGATTGTCTGAGGAATGGGCCAAGCCATTTATTTTTCTAAAGGTGCTGGAAACTACCACACAGGACCCCATGTCTGCCTTGTGAAATTAATAGTTATATTTATTACCAGGGAGGTCAAAGGCAGGGGAAAGCTGGCTGATGGTGTGCAGGTAGTGAGAAGGGAAAGTAGAATATTTCCAGTATTGGTGGAAAGGGAATTAGAGGCAATCACAGCGGCATCTGACTAAAATCAGAACCAATTAAAATCAGAAGAAAGGAGAGAAGCAGGATGAATAAAACAAGAATGGATTGAAAGTATAATAAAACACAACTGGTGCAGAAACACCAGCCTTTCATCTCATGCCTTGAGTGAAAACAAACCTATTTTCCAGTGGAAGGAAAAATAGCTAGAAGTTGTTTTAGGAAGGTCCATGCAGGCTGATGGGCCCACCACCATGGCAAGCATCCCCTGGAGGCAGCACAGCAGCTAGATGGCATCACCGGCTGCGCTATCGCCCTCTCCTTCGCTCCCAGCAGCGCTCCACGCAGGGGCTTTCAGCCTGGCTTGTCCAGATAGTGTTTGTGCTAAAGGCTGTGGCTTTGGACTGAAAAACAAAGAAGATAAATTTTACTCAGATGATTAAGCAGAACTAAGATTCCAAACTGCCTGGTGATACAGCCTGAGAACTCATCGGCAGGCCTGTGTTTCTAGTCTTTGTTGATTAATTTCCGTGCTCTCTGGACTACAAGTGTTTTATGAGTTGTTAAGATTTAAAAAGAGACAGTGCCATTGTGATTTTCTTTTTTCCCCCTGTGGTGTTGCAAGGATAAAAGTTTTTTTTTGTCCATCTGTCTGAGAGATGTTAACTGCTCCCCAGTCTTATTTTTTTACATATTTACATCTCTGTTTAGCTGTTACTACATCAATAGTAGAGTAACAGCAGCAGTTCACAACCCCAACAGGTCACCATTCCAGACATGATAAAGTCTTGCATTGATCCATTTAGGTAGGTAGTCACGTTCATGAGACAGTGTGGAGTGTGTTGCTGTTGAATATTTTAACACTGTTTTTCATTCAGGCACCATTTTAATCTCTAGCAGCTTCAGACCCAAGACTGAGCTTTCCCAGGATCAGGCTATTGGTCAGATCATGACCCTGCTTGTGACATGAGAGTTTAACAGGCTACCTCTCTAACACGGTCAGTTGCTGGAGTAAGACACAGAGGATTTCTATTACCTGTTGAGTTTGTAACAATCAGAAAAGCACAGTTCGCTGTGCTTTTACATTATCTTCAAATCTCCTATAATTTTTCAGTATCTTTCTGCCTGGTTCCCACTCTCATCCTGTGCATGCATTGTCTGTAGGGAGCTACTATCAGGAGCCAGTTACAAAGATCCATGAAGAACTTAGGAAGTAAGAATTTATGTCCAGGTGCTGTCAGACACCTTACCTGTCAGCTGTGTACGTCTCATGGTGACACGCCTCCAGGCTATCCTTTGCTCCATCATGCATGCAGCCTGTCTCCTTTCTCCTGGGTTCCAAGCCCATAGGGCAGCTCTTCCTTCTTGGTCCTCTGTCGTGGTTTGGGCCTGATTGGCAGCCAACCACAATGCAGCACCTCTCTCTCCCTTCCCCTCCGGCAATGAGAAGGGACAGAGAGCCAGGCTTGGGGTTCAAGATAGGACTGCGATGGGGAAAAATCCCCCTTTTATGATCACGAGCAAAAGGCAGACTCGTTAGGGGAAGAAAAAAAAAGAACATACATTTATTACAGACACTAACAACACATAACAGAGTAGGACAGTGAGAAACATTGTCACATCTTGAGAACACCTTCCCCCACCCCTCCCTTCTTCCCAGGCTCAGCTCTGCTCCCGATATCTCTACCTCCTCCCCCAGTGGCGCAGGGGCAGGGAATGGGGGGGTGCAGTCAGCGCTGCCACTTGCTTCATCTTCGGTGAGGGGAGTGTCCGAAACTTGTTCCTCCTGCTCCATCGTGGTCCCCCTCTCACAGGAGACAGTCCTCCACAAACTTTCTCTGACATGAATTCCTCCCACGGGCCGCAGCGTTCCCCACACTGCTCCGTCATGGGTCACTAACTTCCTCCGACTGGATTCCCTCCCACGGCTGCAGCCCTTCCCGAGCTGCTCCGGCGTGGGACTCCCCCACATGCTGCAATCCTCCCAGCGCTGAATTACAGCAGCGGGGCTGCCTTTTCCCATGTGACCCCGTCCTTCTTCGGGCACAGAACCTTGATTATTCCGAGCAGGAGCAACAGGCCACAAATCAATGTCTGCTCCACCGTAGATCTCCATGGGTGGCAGGGGGGGCTGCCCTGCCGTCTCACCACAGGATACAGGGGGGTCTCTGCTCCGGCACACCTCCCCCCTCCTTTCTTCCTCCGTTCCTCCACTGACCTTGGTGTTCACGCAGCTGCAGCAACTCCTCCTCATAAGTCCGACTGCCCGTCACCACGTCCCTTCTTAAATACGTTATTGCAGAGGCGCAGCTGATGGGCTCAGTTTCCAAACAGAAGTGGAGCTGACTTGGAGCTGGGGGAGCTTGGAAAAGCTTCTCACAGGGGGCCGCCCCGATAGCCCCCTCCCCTGCCACCAAAAAAATCCACCACTCACTCAACACAGGACATCCTCCTAAGCAGAGGGGAATGACCTCCATCCTTGTCTCCATCTGACTTCTCTAAGGGTGCTGTGGGTCTCAGAGAGGTTCCATGGGAGGTTGGTCAGAGTCAGTAAGGCTTACTGATGTCCTCAGGGCCCTGACAGATGTGTCAAAGAGTCATCTGTAGTCTACAGATCTTTGCAGCAGGTTCAGGGATGTGGATGATTATTATTCTTAACTGTTGGACAGCGGCAGAATCGACCTGCATGGAGAAATCTCCAGAAAAAAAAAAAAAAAAAGAAAACAAACAAACAAACAAACAAACAACAACAACAACAAAAAAAAAAACAACAAAAAACCAAAACCCAAACCAAACTAACTCACAAACCCCCAGACTTTGGCTTTGCTTTTGGGACCTATTTTGTTTAATTCTAGTTTGAGAAATTCCAATCATAGCCTGAGTATGAGCCATACCACAGAGCCATCTGCTCTGTGGAAAACGGTTATGGCCCACCCATAACTTTTAGAGAAAAGGGCAAGAAATTAATTATGGGCTGAATGAAGCCAAAATGAGACCCCAATGGTCTTTGAGTCACAGTGCATTAAGTATTGTGAAAAATGTGACATTTTCCCTTGCCCACAGCTCCACCCCCTCGAAAAAAGCCCTGTGGTACAAGATACCTGCACTGGAAGGGGAAGTGCTGAAGGGTCCCATCCTACCACTTATCAGGCAATTATCTAAAATGCAAACCCACCCCTCAGAGATAGGGCCAGGATTGTTACACAAGTGAAATAAAACTAAGCATCAAGAGAGGAAAAATCTGAATATAGTCTGGTTCAGTACCTGACAAATAAATATTTCTCAGTTTATTGGATTTGTGTCAAGGTTTTGGTAGCAGGGGGGCTGCAGGGGTGGCTTCTGTGAGAAGCTGCCAGAAGCTTCCCCTATGTCTGATAGAACCAATGTCAGCTGGCTCCAAGATGGACCTGCCACTGGCCAAGGCCAAGCCCATTCTTGACCGTGGCGCCTCTGGGATAACTTATTTAAGAAGGGGAAAAAACCAGCAACAACTGAAGGGAGGAGTGAGAATATGTGAGAGAAACAACTCTGCAGACACCCAGGTCAATGGAGAAGGAGGGGTAGGAGGTGATCTGGGCACTGGAGCAGAGATTCCCCTGCAGCCTGTGGTGAAGACCATGGTGGGGCAGTCTGTGTCCCTGCAGCCCATAGAGGCCCATGGTGGAGCAGATCTCCACCTGCAGCCCGTGGAGGAGCCCATGCTGTAGCAAGTGTATGCCTGAAGGAGCTTGTGATCCTGTAGGAAGCTGGAGCAGGGGCCGCCTGGAAAGACCTGTGGGCCCATGGAGAGAGGAGCCCACGCTGGAGCAGGTTTGCTGGCAGGACTTGTGACCCTGTGGGGGACCCACGCTGGAGCAGTCTGTTCCTGAAGGACTGCACCCTGTGGAAGGGACGCATGCTAGAACAGCTTGTGAAAAACCGTAGCCCATTGGAAGGACCCACATTGGAGAAATTCATAGAGGACTGTCTCCTGTGGGAGAGAGTGTACGCTGGAGCAGGGGAAGAGTGTGAGGAGGAAGGAGGAGCAGAGACAACATGTGCTGAACTGACCACAACCCCCATTCCTTATCCCCCTGTGTCACTTAGGGAGAGGATGTAGAGAAAATCAGGAGTGAAGTTGAATTTAGGAAGAAGGGAGGGGTGGGGAGAAGGTTTTTTAAGATTTGGTTTTATTTCTCATTATCTTTCTGTGATTTGATTTGCAATAAATTAAACTAGTTTCCCCAAGTCAAGTCTGTTTTTCCATGATGGTAATTGGTGAATGATCTCTCCGTGTCCTTATCTTGAACCACGAGCCTTTTGTTATATTTTCTCTCCCCTGTCCAGCTGAGGAGGGGGAGTGATAGGGTGGCTTTGGTGGGCCTCTTGCATCCAGCCAGGGTCAACCCACTATATTCATTTATTGAAATATTTTCTCGGCAATGATCAACCAACTGAAATATCCTTTTTCCCTTGTGTTCTGGAACCCTCTGTGAACAAGCCCAAACTCATCTGTTCTGGACTACAGAAGAGAATTCATTTCTCTGCTCTCTATAGTGTGGGCACTGCATCCAGAGGAGCACAGCTCTGCTCAGGGAGCTCAGGGAAAGCACTTTGCAACTGTGCCATCCCTTGCCAAGATTCTCTTGCTTTTCTGTGCAGTTTCCAAGAAAAGTTTCTGCAAGTTCATGACCAGTTCTGAGCTAACAAACAATGACAAATTAAAATGAAAAAAACAGAGTAAGCAGTTCATCTCAGCTGGGGAAGCTAAAGTATCTCTACAGTGGGATGTATTGCCGCGATTGAGAGACGGAGACCCAGCTCGATGCAAGTCAGGATCTACTTTATTGAACACAACAACCGATTTTATATTCCAAACAGACAAAGAGAGACACGTGTTTTAAGCTGATTGGCACAATGGTTAATCACCTAATACATATTACAAAAGTTGAGCTCATGATTGGTCAGCTTGACTTTTTCTGCAGTTAATTTTCTGCTAGCTCACAGCATTCTTCTCCTTAACGACTTCTACTCCTGTTTCTATAGCACGTGCTTATCTTTAGTTACGAAACCAGCCCTCCTGGAAGAAATCGTCCTTAGCCCCAGGGGTGTAACAGTTTGCTTACAGAGTATGCAAATTACGAGACGCCAAGTTGAGCACGTCCTTGCTGCTAGAAGGAGAGACCAGGCTGCCCCCGACATCTCCCCCTTCTTGTTGCACAATAAGGACCCTTTTCACTGAACTGGCTATCAGGTTCTGCACACACTGCAAAAAAAACAGGGTAAACAAAGTAACAAAAGAATAAAAACGACTAAAGCATACACAATCATTTTTACAAGGCTTCTCAACCATCCTGATAGGCTTACTGTCTATCAAAGAACAATTCAGAAAATTAAAAACATATAAAGCTTTCTGAAGACGTTCCTCGGGGGTAACGGTCCCTATTCCCCCTTTTTGTTGTTGCAATAAGCGTTTTAGAGACTGATGAGAGCGTTCAATTAAGGATTGGCCCGTGGGGGAATGAGGGATACCCGTAATGTGGTTGATCCCCCAAGAACTCAAAAACTTTTTAATTGCAGTTGAAATATATGCAGGGCCATTGTCAGTTTTAATTTGAGAAGGTATGCCTAAAGTGGCAAAAGCGCGCAGCAGATGTCGTTGAACATCGCGCGCCTTTTCGCCAGTATGACAAGAGGCAAATAATGCCCCAGAAAAGGTATCAATAGAGGAGTGAATATATTTTAAGTGACCAAACTCCGAAAAATGAGTGACGTCGGTTTGCCAAAGTTGCAAACTTTGCAATCCTCTAGGATTAACTCCTCCTGCTATTGTAGGAAATGAGTGCCTTTGACAATCGGGACACACAACAACTATACTGGTTGCCTGCTGAGTAGTAAGGCCAAATTGTCGCTTAAGCCCACCAGCATTTTGGTGAAAGAAAGCATGGCTGAGTTTTGCTTGTGCTATGCGGTCTGGCAGTACCTGTACCGGTAATGTAAGCAGGTCAGCTTGCCGGTTCCCTTCCGCTATAAAGCCAGGTAAGGAAGTGTGAGATCTGACATGCATAATGAAATAGGAATGAATGCGAGAATCTAAAAGAAAAATAAGCTCCTGTAACAAAGCAAATAATGCAAAATGTGAGACATTTCGTAACACAGACGCCTCAGCTCGTTCAACAATCCCTGCAACATAAGCTGAATCAGTGATGATATTAAGCGGTGTAGACCATTTTCTAAAGGCTCGGACGACGGCAGTCAGTTCCACAATTTGTAGGGAACCCGGCACTGTCTTTATATCCGATTCCCATTGTTTGCGCTGGTCGTCCCACCAGAGGATAACAGATTTGTGGGACTTCCCAGATCCATCTGTAAAAACAGTAAGAGCTTGCAAAGGCTGGTCACTCCTCTTTGGTCTAGGTACAAGCTGGAAATTAG